AGAAACAGAACCAATAGGAGATATCTTTATCTCTACCCCTACTCTATCTATCTATCTATCTATCTATCTATCTATCTATCTATCTATCTATCTATTTATCTATCTGCCATCCCTTCACCCATCCATCCATCCGTCATCTATTTATCTATCTAAAAAGAGATTTGTTATGAGGAATTGACTCACATGATTGTAGAGGCTGAGAAGTCCCATTATCTGCTGTCTGCAAGTTGGATACCTGGGAAAGCCAATGGTATAATTAAGTCTGACGTCCAAAGGCCTGACAGCTAGGGAAACTGATGGTATAAATCCCAGCCCGAGGGCAGAAGAAGATGAGATGAGATGTCCTAGCTCAAGAAAAGGGGGTGGCAAATGTTGTTTCCTTTCTCTGCCATTTGTTCTATTCAAGTCTTCAAAGAATTGGGTGAGGCTCACTCACATGAAGGAGGGTCATGTACTTTACTGAGTCCACCAGTTCAAATACTAATCTCATCCAGAAACACTCTCCCAGACACAGCCAAAAATCATATTTCACCTGGGCACCCTGTGGCCCAGTCACGTTGACACATAAAATTCACCATCACAACCGTGTTGTGCTTCCAGATTTACTTTGATGTGTGCTATGGTTAAATGTTAACATCCCCTCCAAAATTCATGTTGAAACACAATCTACATTGTAGTGGTGCAAAGATTGCAAAGAGGTGGGATCTTCTGGGGTGGATTAATGCCCTTATAAATGGGCCTCCAGAGAGAGATCATCCTTTTTGCTCTTCCACCTTCTGATGTGTAAGACCCTCACCAGACAGTGAATGCTGTTGCCTTGATCTTGGACTTCTCAGCCTCTAGGACTGTAAGAAAATACATTTTTGTTCTCTATAAATTACCCAGTCTCAGATATTTTGTTACAGCAGCACAAATAGACTAAGACAATGTGTCTGCACCATAAGCTAATGCAGGACAATGTGTGTGTGGGGGGGCACTTTTTAGGATTCGTAATGAGGAAAACGGGAAACCCTTCTCCCTCCCTGCCTCACAGCATCTCTTTTGGTGTCCCCAACCGGCACACCTAGATGAGCCCTCCCTTGGTTGGGGAGGACCACCATTCCCCCTCTGCCTCAGAGAAGGGTGCTTGGCAACCATGGTCATCATCCATTCTAGGGAAAGGCAACTGGAAACTCCACTTAGGCCTCAATTATACTTCTTTTCTAGTTCAGTTTACCCAGACAGCCTTGTCTTAGTGACATTATTGGGCATTTTCCAACCCATTCATAAATATGGTACTTTGACTATTGGTTCTCTATGGTTTAGATTGAATTATATGAATGCCAACATTCAACATCACTTCTTTTTCACATCAGATGGGTAATGTGCCAACATCGTAACAAGATCTGAGGGAGGCACATCTCACATATGAGCCTGAAAACCCAGTCATCACACTTAGGAGCTACAGGAGGATCTTGACATCATTTTGACTGAAGCATAACAGCATTTCCAGATGGCTCAATCCATATGCTAACTGGTAGAATTCCTAAAGAGAGGGAGGATGAGTCGATGAGTCTGAACCTGCTTCCCTCCCCTTCTCTGCACTGCACTTCACATTCTGAAGGTCTCAGAAAGCACAAGTTCTGGAGGAAAGTGGACCAAGAAAGAGGTTGTCAGAATTGCTGCCATGAGCTGGGCAGTGGCTGTGGAGGGTTTACGCACTGACCAGGGTGCCCAGGCACTGTAAGGCTTCTTCCCGCACTGGGATCTGTGATTCTGAGAGTCTGCTTTCTGCTCTGTGGCATCCAGAAGGGAAAAAAGTTGCAGCTCCAGTTTCACCTGGAGGTTTGACTCCTGCCCCAGGAGGAGTGATGCACTCATGCTTTCCACATTGAAGAGGGCTGCAGACTGTGCTGTGAAATGCATCTGTGTGTGTGTGTGTGTGTGTGTGCAGACGTGCATGCAGGTGTGTGTGCAGGTGTGTGTGGGTCGGAGGGGTGTGGACAGAGGTGGTGGGCAGGCCTGATGGGAGGGGCTGGAAAAGCAAAAGCCAAATACCTCAGTCCTTAATGGCTGGTCGGTTCGCTCAGGCTTTTGAGGACACGCCGGCCCCGGTGCAGACCCAATTTCAAAGATAGCTCAGGCCAGTCAAGGAGGGAAGGTAGGTCAGGGCACATCTGTATCCCCAAAAGGAGCTGAAATTGTTCTTTTCTCTGCACAAGGATGACGCAGACAGAGAAGCAGAGCAGACACAGCCATTTTCGTAGTACTTTCTCAAATCGTTTTCAGATCTGGGAATTGCAGTTTCTAAAAGTAGTAGTGCCGTGGCTAGCTGCCATCTGATAGAGCCATGGAGGTGTTTTTAGACAGTCTTGAAATGTGTGGCTTTGCAGCTCCCCATGTGACAGCAGGCAGTACAATTCAATTTGGACCAGTTGGGGGAAGGCCAGTTAGACTTTGTGGGAATTCTGAATAGTAGACTATCTTAAAAGAAGTGGCATTATGTTATATTTTATTTTTCAGACGTGTATCTAGGGATTCAAGCTGTTTATGGAGTCGCTATGAGTAGACGGCCTGCTGTCCCTTCTCCCGACCCATCTCAGCCACCCTGCTACTCAAACTGCCTGCTCTCACACAGGGGGCTGGCTATGCTGACCTTCACCCTTCTCCCCATGCTCTGTTCCCCAGGAAACCAACCTCTGTAGACAGCAGCTACCTGGATTTCTGGCTTCTAGTGGAAGATGGCAGGGTTGGGGGAGGTGAGGGGAGGGAGGGAGCAGAGAGTCATCAGTATTGCTTTCTTGCCCTTCCCTGAAGGGCAGGGTTGGCAGTGGCTGCCTCCTCTTCTGAAGTCCCCAGCTCCACTGATGGCCACCTGTGGATGCAGTTCTTAATGGGGCTTGGAGAACCTGCCTAGCTCACTCCTTCAGGCCTAGAGGTGGTGGTAGATTCCTGCTGTTTCTACCCCAGGGCACTTCATCCCAGCCACTTTGCCCTGAGTCTGCTCAGAGCGTTGTACAGTTTCCTCATCCAACTCTCTTTGGAGCTACCATCTGTTTCCTGCTGAAACCCTGACCAGGGTCCCCAATGACTGCCTAATCCATGATTTATCTGGATATATTTCAGCACTTATCTTCAGTATCTAACTGTGGACACCTCCCTGTTTATAAGTCCCTTCTCTCTGGGCTCGCCTGTCTTCCTTTCCCCTGCTTGCCACCCACCTCCTTCCAGTTCCTCCTGAGTCTTCCTGATGTCTCCTGGTCTGCCTCAACCTGTGCCTCTTGGCCCCTTTGCCTCTCATTCCTTATTCTCCCCTAGATGATCTTGACCACACCCATGGCTTTGACTGAGCAAAGGGAACTAACCCTCACTGAATGTGTCTATGATTGATTATTGGGGGCTTTATCCCATCATTCATTTGAATGTTGAATACTTAGTGTCTTCCATGTATCAGGACTGTTCTGGGGCTGGGGATATGTTATCTCTTTGACTCTTTACAACAAGATATGCACCATTGTATCCGTCTTATAGATGAGGCTTCTGAGCTTCAGAGAAGTTAGATACTGTGCCCAAGGCCAGGCTGGGATTGAAGCCCACTTTCCTGCCTCCAAGCTTGGAGCTCCTCCTTCTGTATTGTATCACCAATGGAGCACTTCGTTTACAATGCTGAACTTGAGATGAACTTAGCAGAACTTTTATATATTCTAAAAACAGCCTCGTCTGACTTTGGCAGTTTGAACTGTAGTAGAACAACATTTTTTTGCTAGCTCATTCATCAGAGACATGTGCCTGACTCTGACTTTGAGCCTCTGTTTGCTCTGTCATTCACTGTGATTCTAAAAATTACCCCTGGCTCCCCAAGTGCTCAATTTTAGACTCCTGGTCTCCTGACAATACAAGATTAATTTAAAACCAGAGCAGCAGGATTTATTCCAGAGATTTCTTTTCATATCAGAAATTTGAAATAGGAATCATTGTTTGCATCTTCTTTCATTCTACAAAAAGAAGATGCAGATGAACCTTTTTCAGGATGTAGGGCCAGAGCTACCCTAAGCCGCAGCCTTGGAAGCTCCATCATCACGATTATTCAACTGTTGTGACCTCATTAAAAGAAACAAAGAAGGGATGCTTAGAGAATGGAGCCACCACCTGGATCAAGCTTGGGCTGTGAAATTCAATTAACTTAGTTTCAAAATCTAGCTGAGCGATCTTGGGCAAGTTACTTAATTTCTCTGAGTCTTGATTTTCTCAGCTGTAATCAGGGAATGATAGAGGTGAGTAAACCAGGTATGCACACTCAGCAGTGCTTGGTGAGTTGGGTGCTAAAATCTTGGCCAGCTACTTTTGGTAGAGACCACAAATGTCACTTTGGTGAAGACTTGAGTTACTACTGGGGTTAAGTTGGAGAGGGAAATCACTTCATTGGCCTCCCACCTCATACGCTTTGGAAAGCAAAGTACTGGGGTGAACCTTCAACAGTTTGTATGAGGAGTTCTGTACCTTCTAAGAAAGAAGGGACTAAGACTCTAACCTCTTGTACCTAAGATTTGAAGCTCAGAACAGTCTTCAGGAAGGTTCAGGAGGATGCTGAGCAGGGTCAGGGTGAGGAGGGCCCTGAAATAAAACTACCAACAGGGTAGAAAGAAGTGGGCTCTGGAGGTTGTGGTGGTGGGTGCGTTTGGCCTTGAGTGAGTGAAGAGAGAAGAATCAGGTGGCCCTTGTCCCTTGAGAGGCAGTCCCTTTTTCTGCTTGTCCCTACCTAGCCTTCCTGAAGGCAGACTTTGGCCTTGGGGAAGTGGCTCATAGGAATTGCCTAAAAAAAGTCCTTGTATAGCTTAGAGTGAAATTCTTTTTGATATGGACAGGAGACAGGGAAATACTGGGCAGAAAAGGGCAGTTCCCTGGCATAGTCCCCACCCCCAAGCCTGGAAACCTGTGGCACTAAATGGGAACAGGCATTCCTGTTTTTGCACCCAAATGTTGCATTTTTGGCCCATGACACGTCCCTATCCTGTACCCAGATAAACCCCAAACCCCAGGCTCCACAAGCAGATGAGTAGACAGACAGATGGACAGAAGAGCAGAGGAGCAGAAGAGTGGCGCGCCAGAGAAGGAGAGAAGAGGAGGAACATCTGAATGTCGAGAGGATTTTGGCTTGGGACGGTCAGTGAGGAGATTGGCCATGGGACAGCTGAACTCCAGGGGAAGATCATCTTCCCACTCCATCCCCTTTCCAGCCCTCATCCATCCCACTGAGTGCCACCTCCGTCACCCAATAAAATCTTTGCATTCACCATCCTTCAAGTTCATGTGTGACCTGATTCTTCCTGGACACCAGACAAGAACCTGGGTACGTGTGTGGATACCTGGGTACCAAGTGGACACTGAGCTGGTTAACACTTAAGCTATCTGCAGATGGCAGAGCTAAAAGAGCACTGTAGCACGCCCACTGGGGCTTCAAGAGTCACAGGCACACATCCCTAGATGCCACTGTGGAGTTGGAACTCAAAAGTGCTCATCTTGGCTCCTGCAGCTGCCCACTTGCATGCTCCCCATCCTGTAAGGGGTTTGAGCAGTGGTGGAGGCAGAACAGACAAGCCACACTCCTGTGGTACATCCTGCAAGGGCGTCAGGGAACTCTCCCATTTCATTTTGACTGAGTTTTGGTGTAAGGAGACTGAAGCAGGCAGGACAGCCTGAAAATCTCCTCCTGCCATGGGTGAGTGAACAGATTCGTCCTGGATATAAGGGAATCAGACGGACAGGGGCTGGACCTTCTGCTGGTCAGCATAATTGGGCTCATGGCATCATAGCGTGGGAAAGTACCAGACTTTCAGTTACAAGTCACATATATAAAGCATTAAGCACAGTGCTTGGCACATAGTAGCCTATCAGGAAATGGCAGGCAGCTATGAGTAATGTTATGTTATTAAATGTCAACAAAAAGAGTCAAACTCTGTAAAATATTTGAAGAGATATATTCTGAACCAAATATGAGTGACCAATGGCCTGTGACACAGCCCTCAGGAGATCCTGAGAACATGTGCCCAAGGAGGCTGGGCTACAACTCACTTTTATATATTTTGGGGAGACATAAGGCATCAATCAATACATGTAAGATGTACATTGGTTCATCTAGAAAGGTGGGACAACTGGAAGTGGGAAGGGTCGAGGCTTCCAGATTTTAGGCAGATTCAAAGATTTTCTGATTGGCAATTGGTTGAAGGAGTTATTATCTAAAGACCCAGAATCAACAGAAAGAAATACCTGGGTTATGATAAGGGTTTGTGGAGACTGAGGTTTTATCACCCAGATGAAGCCTCCAGGTAGAGCAGGCTTCAGAGAGAATAGAGTGTAAATATTTCTTATCAGACTTAAAGAGTCTGTTCTGTTAGTAATCCCAAAAGGGAGGGTATCATGAGGTGTGTCCAACTTCCCCTTCCCATCATGGCCTGAACTAGTTTTCCAGGTTAATTTTGGAATGACCTTGGCCGAGAGGAGGGGTCCATTCAGATGGTTGGGGGGTTTAGAATTTTATTTTTGGTTTACATAAGAGAGATCTTGATGAGAAGAATGAACCACTCAGCTGAGGGAATAGGGGAGCAGGATGAGACACTGTTACACCCCATCGCCTTTGCCAGGTGTCAAGCCCCAGTGGCTGGCACCTTGGGCAGAGTGGGAATGGTCTGTGGGAGGAAGCCCAGAATTGTTCCTATACTTTTGCCTATAGGAGGTGTCACCCCCCGTTTTGTTGCCCAGAAGCACAGTTGAGAGAGGCTAAGCATTGCCCAAGTCCTCAAAGTGTGAGCTTTAGAGCCTTCGAATCTTGGAAGGATCCCAGAAGTCATCCACCTGCGGTTGCCAAACATTTTAAAGCAGTAAAGTCCCCTTCACTTTTTTCTTCAATAAAGTTTAGATGATATCCTGATGTATAAAACAAAGTCACATTTTTCTAATAAGGTATATTTGCAAGTGGAAATGTATTTTGTTGACTTGTGTTAGCATCAGTCAGTGAGAACAGTAAAACTATTTTGAAAAATCCAAAAACTCATAATCGAAACTATGGAAGCTGGTTTCAATCTCCCATCAGATCTGGCAGGCATAAAATTCAAATCAAAGTGCAAATGGAATCCAAGAAGGCCCCCGAAGACACTCAGCGTTCCGTAAATCTAGCTCATTGTATTAGTCATGGTTGCAGCAGGAAACAGTTTGCATTCTCAAGCTCAGGGACTTTAAGGAGGGTCTAAACTTACTAAGCCATCCACGAAGGCAGGAATAGGGAACCACACAGGATGGTATAATAACCCAGGGCTAGTTGTTACCCTCCCGGGCTAAGGGCCCTGGCAAGGGACCCATTACCAGAAGCTGAAAGGGGAGGACTGGGTAGACAGGGCTGCTTCGAGAGAGCAAGGAACTTCAGGAGAGGGACATTGCTACTCCCAGGAGATCCTGCAGGAAAAGAGCAGGGGGCAGATGAATACCCCACCCTCACTCTTGGGATTCCCTCCTTATCTCTTCCTGGGACTCCCCGATGGCAGACTGGAAGCCAGAGGGCAAAAGAGCCCTGTGATGTCATTCCTACAGGTCAGCCTCTGAGGACAGAAAATAGGTTGCGAAAGATGGAGAGTGAAGCTAGAGGAGCCAGGGCACTGCTCCACCCTGCAAATACACCCCTTCCCCTGTTTTAAAGAGAGCAAGAATGAAGGCTCAGAGAGTTCAGATGACTTTCCCAGAGTGACACGTTTAGAAGCAATGGTAGGAAGCCAAGTGCTCTGATCTCAGCTCAGCCCTCTTTCCACTGTGCTTTTTCATCACCGTGAGCTGAGGACTACTGTAGATATGGAAATGGTAATGTCATCCCTTGCACTTTTGGATCAGAGTTAAGGGGGTAGGCTTAGCCTAGTCCAGTAATTTCCTTTATTAGGGTCAACTATGGTCCACCGTTGCTGTGTAGCCCAGTGACTTTGCAAGTCTAAAGAGAAAGCATAGCTATTTAGGGGACTAACACATCAAGAAGCTCTTTGGCTTTCTGTCCCACACTCGCAGGTCAAACACTTTCTCAGAAAGGGCAGGAAGAATGTCAGCTAAATGTAAGGGATTGTATGGATCATGGGTGCTAATTCCGACCTAGAAATATCCAAGAGGATCCATGTCTGTAAAGGCTGAACAGCTGCAGAGAATTTCTGGATTGCTGGTGACATTTGTGCTGTATTCAACATGCTCCCCAAAGATTCTGCCCTTTGCCTGCTTCTTACAGAACTTTGGCTTAAAAGGATCTCTTCTAAAAGGACACTCCTATTAAGGTGGTGGATCATAACTGGTACCTAATGCTCTTGCTATGGTTTGGGGAAATTAGTGGCAAGGATCCTTGCCTCCCTGAACTCAAAGTCATTTGCAGTTTGAAGCAGCTTTTGGATGGCTTGTGTGAGAGTCATATGACTCCTTGAACTTGGAAACAGCAGACATGCAAGTTTTGTGGTGAGGAGAAGCTGTATACTTATGGATGGTTTAGGACATAAGAGCCAACTCACAAAGAAAACACATGAGCTAGAGTCTTTGTAAGACCTAAGCATCCTGGGTGTTCTTTTGCCACAGGTAACCACCACGTGGCTACTTCCCAACAGCTCCCTCTAACTTTGCGAGGATGCATTCTCATCTAGCCGGCCAGTGGTGTACCCCTTCTCCATGGTTGGTGCCTCCCTGTATCGCTGGTTGCCTCCTTGAGCGCATCGATGTCCTGCCTGCCTTTTCAAAAGCTATTTACCTAGTCATGGTTGACATAAACTCCGTGCATTTTTCTTTCAAAAACTGTGAGGAGGACACTTGGGTAACCTTGGTATCCCAGGCAACTATGGGGTCATTCTGACCTGTTCTCCTTCTCCTTCTCCTCTCTTCTAGAGCAGGAGCTCAGTTTCCTTTTCCTAGTTTTTCAGATGAAATAGCACCAATCTGTAGCTTGGGCAAGGCTGGTTCTCTCTTGTTCAGTTCTGCAGTCAGTAGGGTCAATACCATTCACTTATAGTGCGTGGTTCTAATAGGACTATGCCCTCCAGGGGCCTTGTTTTAACCTAGAAAATGATGTGACTTCCCTATTGTCTAGGATCAGTATGTAGTACTACAGTCAACCATTTACACTTAAGTGGACTTGACCACCAAACTATTCTCTATAGAAAACTTTTTTTTTTTTTTTTGAGATATAGTTTCACTTTGTTGCCCAGGCTGGAGTGCAGTGATGTGATCTCGGCTCACTGCAACCTCTTCCTCAGGTGATCTGCCCGCCTTGGCCTCCCAAGGTACTGGGATTACAGGCGTGAGCCATCGCACCTGGCCAATGTTTTGGTTTTGAAAGACCTCCTTACATATAGGCATCACTTAAAAGTTATTCCCACAGGATGACCATCGCAGTACAGCATCATTGCAACGCTTCAGTCCCACCCAAGATCTAGCCTATAATAAATTCGCACAGGGCAATGTTAAAACAGAAGGCCAAGCAGTGTCTCATAGTCTCAGCAGGAATATCAGGTAGGAGTGTCAGAGTGTTGCGCATGTCACTATAGCTGAAGTAGGCAATTTGGTCTTGTTTACATATGCCAGGGAAGGCAAAGGGTGGCCAAGTCTGGGTCTTTGCTGTAAAATATACATACATCCTTTCACTTGATTTAAAAATCATGAAAAAACTTTTTTTTTTTTTTTGAGACAGAGTCTTCCTCTGTTGCCCAGGCTGGAGTGCAGTGGCACGATCTTGGCTCACTGCAATCTCTGCCTCTCGGGTTCAAGTGATTCTCATGCCTCAGCCTCCCGAGTAGGTGGGACCATAGGTGCACGCCACCATGCCCAGCTAATTTTTGTATTTTTAGTAGAGACAGGGTTTCACCATGTTGGCCAGGATGTTCTCGATCTCTTGACCTCATGATCTGCCCGCCTCGGCCTCCCAAAGTGCTGGGATTACAGGCATGAGCCACTGTGTCTGGCCAAAACTCTTAATAATACAGTTTATACTGAGTACTTCTCATTGACTCATTAATCACGCTTCCTTGCTATCTGCAACACCTAAAACCTTATTTAATTCTGATGAACAAATATACATAGCACTCTATACTATAATTACATCTGTATTTTAAATATTTTAATTCTTTTTTTTGGCTAAGACCTTTTAGTGAATGTCTTATTTTCACTTAAAGTATGCACTTTCTTTCCCAGCTTTTCCAAATTAGCAAATGTTAAATAGTGCATTGTTAATAGAAGGTTTGGCCTATCTATTCAGCTGTGCTATAATTTTGTGAACAGGGCTAGGATTT